GGTTATGTTGAAATCATATGCTTTTAACTTGGAAGTGCTCTGACAATCGGAAAGTGTGACAGAGTATTGCAGAAAGTTTCACACACAATGTTTGATTGTCAGCAAAAAGAGACAGTCCGAAGTCCGAACTAAACTTTGGGGACATTGAAATTACGCGAGAATGGAAGTGTGATTCCCCCCCCCGTGTCACTGCGCCAATTGTGACGTCCGCCTGTCTGCGTCCGTCGTGCTATCCCGTCATGTAACGACCAATGTGACTTGGTATTGGTCGCGGCACCAAATGTGACGTTCTAACCTTTTGCTGATTCGGATGGGAATCTGGTTAGATTCGGTATCAACCTTGTCGTTCCCAGCTCGCCTCCAACGTCTGGTTACCGAAGTAACTGCTTTGATTTCTAGTCTAACCTACCCACGTTGTGAATTGATCTAGGCAGACGAAATCAATCAGTCGCCGGGCCGTAATGCAAGCTGTGTTCGAATAAGGGTTATATCGCACAAGTATGTGTAAAAGAAAAGAAAATAATAACTCGAAAAATTCAAATATGTTAAAAAAAGGATAACAATACTTTATATCTGGTTGCTGAGTACAGGACTGAGTCTTCTTCCCAAACCCGCTATATGGATTTGTGACACTTTATGTTTGTTAGGCGAGTCTTAACATCTTAAGTTGTTTGTTCTTTTAAGAAACTGGTTTTTGGTGTGTCTTCAGGCGAAATTCGTAAAACTTGTTCTGGTGGTGTGAGTCGTTCTTCAAAAATAAATTGTTCGTGGTTAGAAGATGAGTTCGGAATTGCGTGAATCTTTCAAGTCAGCTATCTGCGAGGCGAGACCAACTTCAACTGCGAACTTTGAACTTAACTCAACTGCCTGAATCTCGAACTCGAACTGAAAACTCATTTTCGCTCACTGCGACTTTGCTTATATGGACGCCGACCAAAACCGGGGTGGGATTGTCGGGGTTTGAGGTTTCTTGATAATTCCAAACCCACAATCCACTTCTTTATTTTCGGTCAGGAAAATTTTATTAATTTCCATTTTCCTTCGTCTTCCCACCTCCTTCTGTTCTCATATTAGTATCTCACCATGCCCTCAGAGGGTGTCAACGGGTTTCCCCTCTCTCTCACAGTGGTATCTCACACCTATCCCCTCAATGGGTGCCAGCAGGCCTCCCCTCCTGCTTCACATGATCACCTCCGCCCAATACTCTTGCCACCACTCAGCCAATGGGCCTTCAGCAGCGTGGGTGTGGCTAGACTAGCCTCGGTTTAAAAAAATCTTGTTCAAAGAAAAAAAATTATCTTCCTTTCTCTTTTTTTTCTTTTTCTTTTCTTTCTCTTTCTTTCCTTCTGCCCGACAACGAACCCTTGGTCTCTTATCTTATCCAAATGTCACTTGGACTTTATCACCCGGGGCCTTCGCCAAACAAGTGGGTGGTCAATTAGACGTATTTACATTCTTGGTGCCAATTTCTGATCCGATAAAATAGTTTCGCTGTCATAGCCGAATTTCAACACAAAACAGATGACTTTTTCAAACGACTTTCCCTTAGATAGCCAATGGTTTGGTCATTGGTTTTGGCAATCCTTGTGTGGTCAACGAATATTTTTGTTTCTCGGTCAGCGGATGACCTATTTAATTTTCATCTCTTTAGAATTCTGTGGGAGGTCTCAAATGGGCATTCCTTTGACACAGTTAAATGTTTATCTATTTAGAATTCTGTCTCTGAGGTTATTTGGCCAACCTGGAATTTCCACCCGCCCCGTAACTTAAATCAGATTAATTCCAGTATCTTCTTTTTTACCTTCTCGACAATGGGAAATAAACATTTTTTCACTTTTCCTTGTCAGAAAAATAACACCGCTTAGTGTTCTTTTCGTGATGGCTTCCTATCACCTAATTTTAATTCTCGCCTTTCTTTTTTTTTCTTTTTCTTCTCTCCTTCCAGCAACCCTAAGTGGTGTCACAGAAGTTATGCTAACTAGGAAATGTACAAACAGAGGACGGAAAGTTTAACACACAATGTTTGATTGTCAGCAAAAGAGACAGTTCGAAGTGCGAATTAAATATTGGGGACGTTGAAATTACGCAAGAACGGAAGTTATGCTAACTAGGAAGTGTACAAACAGAGGACGGAAAGTGTAACAGACAATGTTTGTTCATGAACGAAAGAGGCAGCCAAATGTATGACTGAAAATTGGAAGATACAATGTTACAGCGAAGGATGTAATCTTCCAAACTCGAAAAACAAAGAAGCATCTCTTGAACTAGGTATTTTTATATCTACTCTATAGAAAATATTTGACACTTCTGACAGATGAAGACAAATCTTGAAGTGAAAGAGATATGGTTCTCCTAAAGAAGACTGAGGAAATTTTCTGTAACATTTAAGGATAATAGTTATTCCAGTAACTCTTCGATTATCCGGACCGTTTGGGACAGGGGTTGACAAAATAAACATGTTCAGATAATTGAAACTTCCGGAAAACTGAGTAATTAATTATAAAAGAATAAAGAAAAACGTAATTTTCCTGTAAGAAATTTAACATTTAGATAATCAAATAAACTATTCAAATGATTTATTCAAGGTCTTTTCCTAGTTGATATTTTTACGAAAGAAATGCGTTAATTTTTCCTTTCCCGGCTGGTCTCGCATGTTTCTGCCACTAACACCGGAAGCTGGATTAAATTAGATGCATTTGTAATGATTGCTTCTGATTGAATGTGCAGCCAACTTAAGCACGTATCAAGAATAATCATTGCTTCGGTGTTTGAATTGGGCATCGAGGCTGTTGAAATATCATTATCCTCCTTCTCTTTTTCATCTTCTGAAGCAGTTATAATTTAAAGTTTGTTCCGTGCTGGACAAACAAAGAAACAATTTGTTCCCCATTCAAGCCTGGTCCACGCGTGTCACACGCATCTGAATGTTGCGTAAACCATAATCACTGACGTGACCCAGCTGTAATAATTCAAGATGTATCATCTTTCTATCTCGTCCTGAGTATGACGATAAACTATATCCGGCAACAAGGTCGGGAGATTGAAGGTTTTGAGGAGAATGGAACCACCTCTTAATTACTGCTGTTCCCACGTACACGAGTGGTATGAACGGTTGGGGTCCCAGCTATGGGCAAACAGTGAACACCCAAACAAAAATCCCCGATACATTCTTAGAGTAAAATGAGCAAAAATACATTTTATGGGTAAATTACAAACAATACATTTTATAGTAAAAGTACCAGCAATACATTTTATGATCTAACAATTATACAATTAAAAAATATACATATTACCCTGAAAGTATAACATTGTCTACAAATATTTACATTACGCGATTAAAAACCCATACAGATGTTGATATGCCGATAAACAAATCCAAGCATATCAACGAACAAATCTTTCTATCAAGAGACAAGGCAGGAATTAGGAAATGTTATCAAACGATGAGTTTGGTTTTCTAAATTTGCAAACGCTTGTTTGAGATTGAATATTAGAATCGGTTTAATTCGGATTATTGAAAAATATCCGGATGGTTTCAGTTCCATTTTGCGTCCGAGTATTCGAACTCCGGAAAATCAAGGTACGGATAATCGGGTTACTTATAATCGAGGTATGGATAATCGCGGTAATTATAACCGAGTTACGGATAATCGAGGTACGGATAATCGAGGTACGGATAATCGCAGTAATTATAATCGAGTTACTTATAATCGAGGTACGAATAATCGAGGTACAGATAATCGAGGTGTTTATAATCGAGGTACGGATAATCGAGGTAATTTTAATCGAGGTACGCATAATCGAGTTACTTATAATCGAGGCACGGATAATCGCGATAATTATAATCGAGGTACGGATAATCGAGGTACGGATAATCGCGGTACGGATAATCAAGGTCCTTATGATCGAGGTACGGATAATCGAGGTAATTATAATCGTTGTACGGATAATCGCGTTACTTATAATCGAGGCACGGATAATCGCGATAATTATAATAGAGGTACGGATAATCGAGTTACTTATAATCGAGGTACGGATAATCGCGGTACGGATAATCAAGGTCCTTATGATCGAGGTACGGATAATCGAGGTAATTATAATCGTTGTACGGATAATCGCGTTACTCATAATCGAGGCACGGATAATCGCGATAATTATAATCGAGGTACGGATAATCGAGTTACTTATAATCGAGGTACGGATAATCGAGGTACGGATATTCGAGGTGCTTATGATCGAGGTACGGATAATCGGAGAAGCAAGCAAACTAAAAAATGCACACAGAAAGAAAACTTTTAAAGTGAAGCACTAGATAAGCTTTACTGACTTGCATGGGGTGAAATATTTTGAAAATTGCATAAGGAGAAAAGAAGCAGATGAAAGTAAGAGATTTGTTGGTGGCAGAGAGCAATTCATGGGTTTGGAGAGCAAGGCAATAGAGCGATTAATGAGCCACTTAGAGTAACTAATTTCTCTTCATCATCTGTCTTGACTATGGGCTGAGAAAAGTCCTACATAAGAAATTGCGACTTGCCTTCACTCTCACTAAACAAAAAAATCAGACGTTATCCAGCCGAGAAGATCAATGATACTCACTATGCAGACGACCTAGCGATACTGGCTGACTATTTAAAAGGCGCAACGTCAATCCTTCACAACATGAAAAATATAGCACAGGAGATTGAATTGTATGTCAGTGCGGGTAAAACAGAGTTCAACTGCCTGAATCAAGATACACCGACAGGTATGAACAGTCTGAACGGAGAAAACATCAAGCAAGTAGACGACTTCAAATACCTGGATAGCTATATTGCTTCCACTGAGAACGAGTTCAACATGAGACTAAGGAAAAACGGATAGACGAATAAAGAAATGAACAAAATCTGCAAATCAAATCTACCGGAAAAAAACTGAAGAGAAACTTTTTCAGAGTTACATATACGTCCTTACATATGGCTCCTTAACCTGTACACTAACAGCAAAACTGGAAAAGAGGTTAGATGGTGCTTACATCTTCGAATGCTTCAAGTAGAACTAAACAAGAAAGTGTTTATGGCAATATACCTCCCATCGGCAAATCGATACGCCAACAAAGTCTAACAGCTGTTGGTTACTGTTGGCGGGGCAAAGAAGAACTAGCGGAAGACGTTCTACTCAGGATACCATCCCATGGGAAAAGAATACACGGTCGACCAAAAATGTACATTGACCATCTGATTGAAGGCACTGGACAAGCAGACTGAAGGCAGACTGGACAAGCTTCCAAATGCAATGAACGATACGAATTGATGAAGGCAGCGTGTCATGGAATGCCGAGCTTGTTCGACCTGATGATAGAGCAAGAGCAGATTAAGACATTGTGGCGAGCCATTATCACAGACGCCCTGAAAGGAAATGGTGCATAAAATAAAACGAAAAGGATAACAGATGTTTTATAAAACATATAGTCACGCACTTCACATTGATGCACGGAATCGAAGTACGATGTTTTAAAAATCCAGATTTTTCACTACTTTTCTCATATTTTCTAACACTAAGTAACCCCCCTTGTATCTTAGTGGTTTTATCGCCTTGCTTGTTGTGAAATTATTTAAAACAGAAGCAATTCTTACATGGGAGTTTGGCGAAACTGTGGCACCATTTACGAGGCAGAAAAGGAAAAGAAAGAAAAGAAGGCAGAAAGAAAGGCGAGACTAATCTTGGGTGATAAGCAGACACACACACGGCTAAGAGACAATGAATATATTGATAAGTAACAAATGGCGAAAGGGTGTCATTACAATGACAGGGAAATTCTGAGTAAAAAGAAAGGGAAAGAAAGAAAGAATCAGATGTGTTTTGATAACGGCTGTGTTATCTAGGGGTACGTAAACAAACTGCTGGTCGACTGGCCAAAGAAAAATTCAAATGAAAATGTTATTTCGATAAGTGACGAAAAACAGACAACTAAAAGGGACTTTGGATAGATATGGAAAAGTTAATCGCGACACACACGAAGTAACCATACTGACCGATTTTCTTGCCGCAGAACATCTTTATGCCTGCGATAATAAAATTATGTTATCAAGAAATGTTCGCCAAAGAAAAGTCCAATTGAAAACGTTAATTTTGATAATTGACAAAACACAGGTGTAACTACAGGGCTTTGGGTAGATATGGAAAAATTAATCGTGACACACACGAAGTAACTACACTGAACACTTTTCTTGCCGCAGAACATCTTTGGCCTGCGATAATAAAATTATGTTATCAGAAATATGTACCGAAAGAAAATGAATGGGGACCCAGAAGTGATTTTTCTTCTTTCTTCGAAAGAAGACCACCCATTCTGATAATTGGCGATAAAAATACCTGACGAAAACCATGTGTAGAACAAGAGTTATATTGTCCCGTTTGCGGCTAGGAAAATGATAACGGCGATTAAGAGGAAGAAAGAGAAAAGAAGGGATATTTTTTTTTTAGTTAAACAAGATATTTTTTTTTCTCGTCCTGAAACAAAGCCGCGGATTCGTCCACGCCCGACTAAGACATCATTGGTCGAGTGGTGATCACGTGACGCACGAAGAAGGCTGTCGACGCCTCATCCAGAGTGTAGGTATGAGAAGCTGCTACGAAGAAGTGGGGAGGGCAGTTCACGCCCTCTGAAGTATGGTGAGAAGGTGGGAGTGAGGAAAGGTTCCCCAAAATGGAAAAGAGTAGAAAATCCCTAACCAGAAATAAAAGAGGTGGATATATATTTAGAATTATCGAGAAACCCCCGACTCCAACAGACCCACCCCGGTTTTGGTCGGCGTCCATAAATGCGAAGCCCCTACGAGCAGAAATCAGTTTCCAGAGTTGAGTTCCAGGAATTCAGTTCCCAGAGTCAGTCTCCAGCTGAAACCGCCTCGCAGATAGCTGACCAAGATTCACGCAAATTCCGGACTCCTCTTCAGCCCAAGAACAATTATTTTGAAGAGCGACTTAGATCCAGACCACCGAAATAATTTTTTTCGTCTTTCGTCCGAAGACACACCGAAAAAACAATTTCTTAGAGAGCAAACAGTTAAAACTCGCCTAACGGAAAACGACGTGTCACAATCGATAGAACGGGTCGGGAGATAGATGCAGCCCTATGTATCGAACAACTAGACATAAAGTTTGTTACCTTTTTCTTTGATACTTTGAACTTTTTTGAGTTTTCATTTTATTTTCTTTTATGCATATTTGTGTGATATCACCCCCGTTGAACTCAGTTTGCATTATGGCCCCGACTACTGATTGATCTCGTCTGCCTAAGATCAATTCAAAACGTGGGTATGCAGACTGGAGATCAATGCAGTTACCTTGGTAACCAGGCGTTGGAAGCGAGTTGGGAACGACGAGGCTGATATCAAATCTAACCAGATTCCCACCCGAATGACCAAAAGGTTAGAACGTCACATTTGGGTGCCGCGACCGATACCAAGCCAGTTGGTCGTCACAGGACGAGACAACACGACTGACGCGACAGGCGGACGTCACGTTTGGAGCAGCGACACCCGAACGGAGGAGCGAGGAGCGAACAGCTGGCGCCGCGGCGAGGACGTCTGGTGGTGCTGTTTGGGGACGTCACAACTGGCGCCGTGGTAGATCAGGATAGAACGTCACAGTTGGCGCTGCGACCAGGGGACGACGTCACCCAACACTGTCTTCATAAACTTGCATTCGTTTTATTTGATATGGTCCCGTACGTTTGTTTATTTAACTTCCAGCTAAAATAACTGTATTTACATAATGCACCAATTGGCCGTGTACGTATAGCAAGAGTGGCGCGACATTGTCTTCCTTCTTTTTCCTCGTTTGTTCTTATGCCTAAGTCAAGCTTGTTTGAATATGGCATTCTCTGTCATTGAGGTATTTACACTATTTATTTTAGGACTATTGTCCTCACCTTTGTTGTTGTTATCACAACGTTTCGGGTATTGCGTCCTCCTGCCTTCATCAGGTTTACATTGATCTGGAAAACCTACAGAGAATTCTGTACTGAACCCTTTATTTAATCACCGAGTATAGACCGTATTTTATACTTTTCATATCTAGGAATATCTATGTCTAAGTCTTATTTATGTTTTTTTTTAATATTTGGTGGACAATCATGGCTCTCCACAACTTCCTTTTAGCATTGATTGCTTTATTATCACTCTTTGTTTTGCTGCAATTGTTTTTTAAGCAATTTGTTTAAAGTCATTCTCTCTTTTCTTCTGTTTCGCTTGCGTTTCGTGCGCCCTGTGAGTGTTAAAATCTCCAAACATCCATCTTTATTATGTTTATCTAAAAACTTCAGCTGTGCGTTTGGGATTCTTAAGAACAATTAAAACGAGCAAACATTTTTTTTTTTTGCACTTTCCGCCCTCTGTTTGTACACTTCCGTTTCTGCGTGATCTCGACGTCCCCAATACGTAGTTCACACTTCGGATTGCCTCTTTTACTAACAATCATTTTTTTTATAGTTCCTATTCTGTCATGAATGACTCGCTTCCGATTTGCATAATTCCAAGTTTTTGATGTTTTTAGATGCTGTTCATAGAAGATTACTTTGTTAAGATGCAAAGAACGTTTTCATTAAACAAAACGGACTTTAGAGTAAGAAATAAAAACATGGCGACTATGACAAACGATATGAATGCTCCTAATACAAAGATCTATATATATATATTTTTTTTATAATACTTTAAAGCACTATATCGATTTATATTCTTATTAAAAAATTGTCCAATGAGAACACGAGCTTGTCAAAAGGCATTTGCTTTGTCTTGGTTATTCTTTAAATTCTCATTGGACAATTCTGTTTCTAATTGACATGGCCGACTTTCCAAAGAATTGACATTTTTGAACAGTTATCATTTCAACGAAAGGGAGAAAAGGAAGAATAGAATGAAATAAAATTAATAAAACAAAGAAAAAAGAATTGAAACTGAATTAAAATAACCCTTATTCGTGTTTTGTAGTCAATAATGTAGTAGTAAAAGCCTAAAGTAAATCTTCTTATATCAAAGAACACGTTTTCTCTTCTTGTTATCTATTTTCTTATGTTCATTTTTAAGAAAATAGTTTCATCCGCCTTTTTCAATGGAAAAATGAAAAACGATTTTTTGCTGTTTTATATTCTTTGCCCTCAAACGAGAAAAGATTAATTTAATATCTTTTTTTTTTTCTATCTTGGTCGCAATCTCTGTTCCAGTTCTTATACTGTTTACTTTTTGTCTTTCTTTTCTCATTTTACTTCTTCCTTTTTTACTTCTTTCTTCTGTTTTGTTTGTTTCTTTCTTTCTTTTTCTTCTTCGTCTTCATCATCATCATCATCATCTTCTTCTTCTTTTCTTCTTCTTTCTCTTCTTCCTTTTCTTCTCTGTCATCTGCATCGTTTTTTCTCGTTCTTCTTTTCTTTTACTTTTTTCTCTTTCTTCGATATTTGCCTCTCTCTACTCTCTCTCTCTCTCTCTCTCTCACTTTCTCTCTCACCCAAATTCCGTCTCTCTCTCTTTCTCTCTTTGCCGCCCGCTTATCCTGCTTCTTTCTCTATTTCTCACTCTTCATCATTTTTTTTTTTTTTGCCAGAATATCTTTGTGTTCAGAACTGGGTTTCTCTTTTTCCATATTTCTTTCTTTTTTTGTTTCTTCTGCTCTTTCTTTCTTTCTTTCTTTCTTTCTTTCTTTCTTTCTTTCTTTCTTTTCCAACTTTCTATCACATTTTTCTCTATTTTTAGCCGCCCTCGATTTTTCTTTCATGAATGACTCTCCTTCTCTCTCCTACCCTTTATTTTCTCGGCGCACTTCCATTTTCATACTTGCTAGCTTTCATCGCTTACATTTGATATTCGAAAGAAAACTTAAACTCTTTCTTTTGCTTCCCATTGAATTAATCCTTTCTGTCCCCGCGTCTGCAATCAAATCCACTCCGTCCACATCAAGATTATTTCGTTCTCTTTTTTATTACATTTTTTTTATCTTTAAAGTCATTAGAGAAAGTGTCGGAATTGACGTATTATATCTGTCTCTTCATTACTCTCACTAACCTTACTCTCCCTTTTCTTTTACTTTTCAGATTTAACTCTTTGTTACCTCCCTTTGCAACAATGTCATCTTCTCACTCTCTCCTTATCTTCCCTGCTATCTATTTCTTTCTCTACCTTCCCTGTTAAGCTATTAATATTTCTATTTCTTTTCTCACTCTCCAACACTCATTTTCCTTCATGCTATCTCTTACTCACTTCTGTCTTTTACTCTTTCAAATTTATTTTTCTTTTCCCCTACCACATTGTACTATTGTTTTCCTTTCACTTCATTGTAATTCCTTACTCTCTCTTCTCTTTGACTCTTTCAACTTTTCTCTCTTTACTACTTCCTACGGCTCTCTACTGTTCTCTTCCTTTTATCGTCATTGTCATTCCTTACTCTCTCTACGTTCTTACTCTTTCAACTTTTTCTCTCTTTTCTCCCTTACAGCATTCAACTATTACCCAGCATTTCTCTTAATTGCCATCCCTTACTCTCTCTATTTTTTCACTTTAATCTTTTCTCCTGCTTCAACGATCTATTTCTCTCTCTCTCTCTCTCTCTCTCTCTCTCTCTCTCTTGCTATTGCTATTTTTTACTCTCTCTTTTCTGTGACGATCTTATATCTTTTTCATCTTTTTCGCACAAACAACCTCCCATTCTCTCTTTTCCCTTCATTGCTATTCCTTAGTTCCTTCTCTCTCTTATTCTTTTTATTTCTTTTTCTCTCCTCCTCTAACAAATGACCATTCTCTTTCTTTCTCTTTATTGCTATTCCTTACTCTCTCTCTCTTTCACTCTCTCTCTCATGTATCACTTTTTCCATTTATCACTTTTTCCAACTTCTAAAATTCTAAACTTTTTTTACGTCACTCATATTCTTCAGACTCTCCAATCGTTTACACTTTCTCTTCTTTTCATTGCCCTATCTCTAAATGTGTACTCTTCTCTCTATCTATATTACTAACTATTCATTTCTCCCTTTTCTCTATTACTCTTTCTCATTGCCGCTTTCTTTTCCCGCTCATCAACAATTGTCGGCAAACACTCTGTTGCTTCTCTCTTACATTCATAAACTTTTCTCTCATTTTTGTTACTCAATTTCATTTTCTTTTCTTTTTTTTTTACTTGGATAGATGTATTTCCTCATTTAATCGCTATATTTTCATTAATTCTATTTCTTCTTTCTCTTTCATCAACTTTTCTCCCTTTTTCTCGTTTTCTATTCATTTCATACACATTTCTTTCTTTTTCTATCCCATTTCTTTTCAGTCTCTCTCCTTCTTTCTTTCTATTTTTATATTTCTCGCTTTTTCACTCACTACTACACCCTCTTCTCTCTAATTCACCCAAGTTCGCCCACCTTCTAATCCACGTCTCTCTTTTATATTTTTCTCACTTTCTCTCTCCGCCTCTTGCTTTTTCTTCTTCTTTTCTATTTCCTCCCTCAGTCTCTTTCTACTGTTTTCTTATTTCTCTCATTTTCTCATACTATCCCTCATTCTCTCACCCACCGTCGTCTATACGTCTCTCCTTTATATATTTTTCTCTCTTTCTCTCTTGCTTTTTCTCTTTTCCTATTTTCCCTCTCTTTTTCTCTACTTCTATTTTTTTCTCAATTTTTCACCACTGCTGTTATTTACCAGCTACTGAATCTACGTCTTTCTTTTTCCTTCTTTTTTCTTCTTTTCAAATATTGCCCCCCCCGCGTTCTCATTCCCAATTATTTATTTTCCCTCTCATTCTCAATTACTCCCTACTTATTCTCAGTTCTTCACCATCCATTGATTCTTTCTTACTCTTTTTTTCATTAGCTCTTTCTCCTCTTTTTACTTCTCTCTTCCTCTCCCCCCCCTCTCTCTCTTTCTCCTTTTCTCTTTCCGTCACGACTCTTGACTCACTGTTCATTGGCTTAGTTTCTATTCTTTTTCTCTCTAGTCGCATCGATTTTTTGTATTAGATTCTCTCAATTTTAACCTTTTCTACTTTTCTCCGCGTCTCCTCTCTACCACGCGTTAGTCTCTCGTTCCTTTCTCTCTCTAACTTCTCTTTTTCTCTATCTCCATCTCATTGTTTTCTGTTTATCTGTTTTTCTTCCATAATCCTGAATACATTTCGCTCTCCTATCTATTTAGTCGATCTCTTTTTAATCCACTTCTTCTTTCTCACAGTATTTTCTAGTAATATTTCTTTTTCTTTTTGCGTTCGTTCTTATTTTATATATTTTTCTTCTTAAATGTACAGATATCATTCTTCTTTTTCTTAATTAATTCTTTCTTTATTTTCCCATGATCTTTCTTTCTTACTATATTTCTTACTTTTTCTGACGCAATGCTTTCATCTTTGTCTTTGATTGATTTCTCATTTTTCTTTCTTTCTTTCTTTCTTTCTTTCTTTCTTCTTAAATGTACAATTCTGATTCGGAGTTTCTTTCTTTTTGCACCTCTATTCTTTCTTTCTTTCTTTCTTTCTTTCTTAAATGT